CTTTTTTATTTTGTTCGAACTAATAGTCATGGAAATAAAAATCCTAGAAAGTTAATTTTCGTGTTCCGTTACATGTGCGGGCCACTGTAGAATAGTTAATGAACTATCAATTTACGTACGTATTTTCTAATTTTTTAATCATAACGATTGGGATAGAATTTAAAGGTAACTTCAACTATTTCGACGAAAATGAAAAAAATCAACATGTTATGTCATCGCTTGCTGTCGTTGTCACCGCCGTAATTTGTGCTCTAGAATCGAGAATCGATTAATCGAATTTATTTACAGTGGCCCGCATATATAACGCACCACTTGCGTTTTTTTTGCTCTTTTGACAAGAGCAAAATAAACTTTATCAAAAATTTTTTTCCTATGTAATTATGCAACAAACCACAATAATAAAAAACATTCTCTATACTCACTCTATTATAATTATATAATTTCTCTAAGTTTATATAAGTATATAATACAACTTACTATAGAACAACGTTCCAAAATAATTCTCTTACTTCAACAAGGATACAGCGCTCGCCACATTGCCACACGATATAAGATCCATCATACAACCATCACAAGACTTCAAAAAAAGTATAAAGAAACGAATAGAATCAAAAACAAGCCTAAATTGGGCCGTCCGCGAAAACTCAATATACGTGACCGGCGAATAATGACACGTGAATGTTCGAATGCGGTTCAACTTCAAAAAGCGTTATTAATAAATGAAAAAAATCAATGTGGAGGTTAGTACTATACGTAGGGCATTAGGTAGACAGGGTTTGGTGGCGCGGGTCAAAAGAAAAAAGCCGTACTTGTCTGTTAAACATCGTGAAAAGCGATTGGCCTTCGCAAAAAAATATAAGGATTGGTCGGTTGAGGATTGGTCGCGAATGGTGTGGTCAGACGAATCAAAATATCGGGTCTGATGGACGTCAATACTGTTGGAAAAGAAAAAACGAACCGCTAAAAGTGCTCACGTTCAACCTACGGTCAAGTTCGGAGGTGGTAGTATAATGGTATGGGTATTAACGGTACTGGATACCTTCATAAGATCGATGGGATAATGGATGGTAAATATTATCGACAAATACTTTCAAATGAACTTATAATGTCATTAGATTTGTATAATTTAGAGCTAAATGATTTTATTTCTCAACAGGACAACGATCCGAAACATACCGCAGATAAAACATCAGACTGGTTCAAAAATAATAATGTGGCTGTTTTAAATTGGCCGCCACAGTCACCCGATCTAAGTCCTATCGAAAATTTGTGGCATGATGTGGATATCCGTCTTCGTGCTCTCCCGGGGGTAATTTCTAATAAAAATGATCTTTGGGAAAAATTAGAAGAGGCGTGGAACAATATCGAAATTGATCGTTGTATTGATCTAATTAATACGATGCCGGAAAGGATTGATGATGTGATCAAAGCGAAGGAGGTTATACGAGGTGGTAAAAATAATGTTTTGTATAAATTTTTTATTTTATATATCATTTTTAATAAAATATGTTGAACGAATAAATTTTCGTTGCAAAAACGGCAAAAAAAAACGCATCAGTGTTTAGGGGATTAACGATTATTACAGATGATTGGGAATACGTAATAATGTCTGTTCGTTTTTTATTTACATATATAGTTAGGTTAGCTATTGCTTATTTTGTTTGTATTGAGAATTGTGTGATTAAAGATCGACAATGCAAGTGGTGCGTTATTTTTGCATGCCACTGTATAATCGAAATTATTAATCGATTTTAGAATCGATTCTGGGTTGAGAATCGATTCCTATCCCTAGTTTGGACGTTAGACGGCATGATTTCTGTGACGTTAATTGTGGCTCAGCACTACTTCGCTTTAACCAACCATATACATAGCACTGTCAATAGTATCTGGGTGCTGAATATGAGGGTGTATGTAAGGTGTAGGTGAATACAAAATGCGGAGTAATTGCTACAATAAAATTTAGAATACACTTGTACTATATAAAGAAAATGTATTGTTTAGTATAAAAATGCGTTAATTTTGTATTGCAGGTATTTAGTGATGCTCCTATTTAATTTTTTATAGATTTGGAAAAATACCTTTAAAACCCTAGCGTTCAATAGTACCGGCACTAACGCTATTGTTAGAAATAATTTCGTTAATCTCCCAATTTTGGTAAAACCCGCCTGGCCCGATTTCGTTAGTCTATTTTTATTCGCTTCAAAATTCTATCTTTTCTTTTTTTTTCGATCATGAATTCTTTCTTAAACAATAGAGTGCATTATGCGATAATTCTAGAACAATATTTCACCATGTAAACATAAAGATGTATATATAGTCCTCGCGGACGTTAATAAAAATTCAGAATTAAATTGCGTGCAATTTTCCTCCAAGTAAATTAAGACTTGTAAAATTGTTGTAATTGATCGTGATTAGTCCTTTGATCCAAAAAAAGGCATTGATATCGTTAAAACAGCATATTGATTGATTGGATAGTTTAAGGCTTTTAGCTAGACCCGTCACATAAAACACCACCTCACCTTAGAACCCGAGCCCATCCAAATTAGCTTCTAAAAACCCTCTCTAGTCTATCCACTCTCTCACAACCCATTGTTGCAGGTGAAATCGTCGATTACGCCTAATTACTATCTACCCATAACACTAAAATATTTAGAAAAAACATCCAACAATTAATATTCTTAATACTGATACTCGATCAAAGTATCCTGTTTTAGAACAAGAAGTTTTGACTTGGATAAACAGGAGTTCAATTAGAACGAAAGATTACTTACTTTACGTGCTTATCAAAATATTATAACTGTAAATTTCTTAGTTTTATGAACTTGGACAATCAATTGTATGATAGTGATTTTAAGTATTATCGTAATCGTTATTACATGTATTTGACAATTTTAGTATCGGTATACATGTATAACGATAACGATAAACCGATTTGCAGACTTAGCGTTACCGTTACGTAATAAACTGGCTAACGTTAACGGATCAGGTTTGTGTTACAATTTGGACCAAAAAAGACTAACGAACTAGCGCCAGGTTCGGGATTAACTTATTAAAAACATCTCCATGCATATCAAATACGTACGTAGTACATGTATACATAACGATAACCAAATGTTTTTATAAACACCATCAGCGAAATTGACACTTAAAAATATACAATGCAAAAGATTCGTATCAAAAATTCGTTTAAAGATAACAAAAAAGCTTTTGAGTGGTATTCGAAATCGGCAAATAGTGGAAATGCTAGTGGACAATATAATCTTGGCTTCTTCTATGGTATACAAAAAGATAACACAAAAGCTTTTGCTAGTGTACAAAATAATGTTGGTTTCTGTTATCGGAATGGCATTTACATGCAAAAAGATGACAAAAAAGCATTTGAGTGGTATTCGAAATCAGCAAATAGTGGAAATGCTAGTGGACAATATAATGTTGCTTTCTGCTATCGACATGGTATTGGCGTACAAAAAGATGACAAAAAAGCTTTTGAATGGTATTTAAAATCAGCAAATAGTGGAAATGTTAATGGACAAAATAGTCTTGGTTTCTGCTATCAAAACGGTATTGGCGTACAAAAAGATGACAAAAAAGCTTTTGAGTGGTATTTGAAATCAGCAAGTGGTGGAAATGCTAATGGACAATATAATCTTGGTATCTGTTATCAAAACGGTATCGGCGTACAGAAAAATGAGAAAAAAGCTTTTGAGTGGTATTCGATATCAGCAAATAGTGGAAATATTAATGGACAAAATGGTCTTGGTTTCTGCTATCAAAATGGCATTGGTGTACAAAAAGATAACAAAAAAGCGTTTGAGTGGTATTCGAAATCGGCAAATGGTGGAAATTTTAGTGGACAATATAACCTTGGCTTCTGCTACCAAAATGGCATCGGCGTACAAAAAGATAACACAAAAGCTTTTGAGTGGTATTCGAAATCAGTAATTGGTAAAATGCTAGTGGACAAAATAATGTTGGTTTCTTTTATCGAAATGGCATTTTCGTGCAAAAAGATGACAAAAAAGCATTTGAGTGGTATTCGAAATCAGCAAATAGTGGAAATGCTAGTGGACAATATAATGTTGGTTTCTGCTATCGACATGGTATTGGCGTAACAAAAGATGATAAAAAAGCTTTTGAATGGTATTCAAAAGCAGCGGATGGTGGAAACTTTAATGGACAATATAATCTTGGTTTCTGCTATCAAAATGGTATTGGCGTACAAAAAGACGACGAAAAAGCTTTTAAATGGTATTCGAAATCAGCAAATGGTGGAAGTGATGATGGACAAAATAGTCTCGGTTTTTGCTATCAAAATGGTATTGGCGTTCAAAAAGATGACGATAAAGCTTTTGAGTGGTATTCAAAATCATCAAATGGTGGAAATGTTAATGGACAATATAATCTTGGCTTATGCTACCAAAATGGTATCGGCGTACACAAAAATGATAAAAAAGCTTTTGAATATTACTTAAAATCAGCTGAGGGTGGAAAAATTCAAGCTCAAGTCGCCCTTGGCAGCAGTTATAGACTTGGAAAGGGAACCAATAAAGACGAGGAAAAAGCATTTGAATGGTATTTAACGGCAGCAGATAATGGAAATGCACATGCATATTGTAAGCTTGGAAACTGCTATGAATTTGGCATAGGAACAATAGTTAATCAGGAAAAAGCATTTCAATGCTATTTTAATTCTGCTAAAGACAATAATATTCAAGCATTATTTAATCTTGGCAAATGTTATCAATTTGGAAAAGGTACCATAAAGAATGATGATAAAGCATTCGACTGCTATTTGAAATCAGCTAACGAAGGAAAGATTGAAGCTCAATATATGCTTGGATTATGCTTTGACTCATATTCTCTTAAAGATAGTTTGAAAAAAATCCGTATTTGGAAAGAAAGATTCAAATTATCGCGTGGACTTTTAATTGAACAAAATTCGATCGAACAGTCAACCCAAACTGCATTCTATGTTAATTCAGCCCCTATAGTAAAAAATGAAATGCAACAAAGTATTAGGTATCAAATTGTGACGAAAAAATGCGATTCTTTATTATTATCTCAAGGAATAATAATAATGCAGCCTGATTCGACTCGGAATTTGCCTTTCAACAGCGAAATACTTGATCATTCGACTACTAAAGATCTGCATTTTGAGATTCTTTGCGAACAGATTTCAATCGATTTGGATATTCATAACTTAAAGCCAACAGCTCAGTTAATTTCAGTAGTCGAAACAGCGTTGAATTCAAAAACACCAATTGAAAAATTAGAAAATGTCTATAATAATTTTGGACATTTAATTCCTACAAAAGTAATAATTGGCAATAAACTCAAAAGAATTGTTTGTTTTCCCGAAAACCAATTCGACGAAAAAATTAAAGGACATGAATTCGTAAAATTTTCAGAGAAAGGTACTTTAGGAACTGAGAAATTTTAATAAACAATAATGTTGATATACTATCTCTATTTAGAAAACGAGCTTTTGAAGTCTTGGCGAGAAGATATTAGACCGTTCGATTCTTCCTATATGCTAGCAATGGATTGCATGCCAGTTGAAATAAGGTATTTTAATTTGTCTTATTCCATTTTAACTATAAACAATAATCTAAAACTCTCTGTCTCTCTCTATATCAAGTCGAATCCCTGATTGGCTAGAATATAATAAAAGAAATAAATTAGACTGGCGAATTATTAAACTATTTACTGTCCCTTTACACAAAATCCTTGACATTGCACAACAAAAAAAGATTGAGTACCTTTATCAAAAACAAGATTGTATTCTAATGATTGGCAAAAATTTGATTGCGGATTACGACGCTGGATATTTGCAAATTGAATTCGAGAGCGTATTGAAGAGTGCCAATTACCATTTATTTGGTGTTTTAGTGGATTCCGATAATGCAAAGTTAACAGATGTTTTCGTTCGATTTAGTTTGAAGACAGTTTTGGGATTTTCTGTAAGTTGGCACGATTTTCGAAAAAATTATAATCAGAAAATTGATGAGTTAAACATCGAATGGTATGAATAATTTACAAATCAATTAATCATAAGAATTTCGCGCGATGACTAATGAAAGTTCTATTATTAGTGAAAACAGAGCCTATTTTCTTCAATGGATTCTTATTGGCTCTCCAATAGAAATTGGATACACTGATCCAGCATATCGTCATCTAACAATTAAGTTTGGTGTTGAAAAAATAAAACTTACACTCGACAATGTGATAGAACTAGCAAATTCTGAAGACATTCCACCTGCAAAAACATGGATTGCGAATATCAATATAGACAAAGTTATATTTCCGCAAAGAAATCTAATTTTATTTGATACAGAATGCGATTTCGCACCCTCAATATTTTTTTTCAACAGTAAAATTGTATCATGGCGAGAATATGGGTTGATTAGAATGCATTTAAAGACAATGAACGAAGAGGATTATGAATTCATCGAAGAATATAAAGGGCTTGAAGTCAGAATTCGATACTGTGTTTTATTTTTTGAAAATGAGAGTTTGGTTGATTCAGTTTTGTGGAATACATTGGGCCACTTGTTACCTGATCAGCCAGTTATCACATTTCAATAATACATTAGAATGTAAATGTAAAAATGCTAAAAAGAATCAGGTGATAAATGGCACACTCCTAAACAGTATACTTCTTTAGTTTCTTGTGTTTTTTTGTAAATATATGTTGTAAGTGAGAACTGAATACGTACGTATTTCGATAAGTAGATATGGAATCGGCCCGACTAGAGGTAAGGGCTAGCGCTAGTTTGTTAGTTGATAGGATTAGTGTTGGCTGAATAATTCTAGATCCACCAATATCTCATCCCACTTGCAGCATATTGATATACGCTTTTCACACAAACTTCCAAATTTACCCACTTAATTCTTTAGAGATTTTATTTATCTTTTTTATCCAAGTTTTTATATTTTTTTGCAGTTTATTGTATTTTATAATTAGTAATAAATAATTTACACTCAACATGAGACGGTATGAATCCAAGATGAAGATGAAACATTTACGTGGTGGTCATAACATTAATCGGTCGGACCTTATTTATTATAACAATCAGTAATTATGTATGATAAATAAAAGTGATTCGTTGCATTGAAGAAATTAGTTGTCAGATTTGTTATAACGTTAAGCTCATTTAATAACCCTCTGTCACATTCGTCTATCACCTTCTACATGTATCGGATGTTGATTAGTAGTTTACGTTTGGATGACAGCATAATTGCATTTCGATTTGTTTATGTGTTTTATATCAATCTTAAAATATTTTAAATTATGACATAAAATTAACAAACTACGTAGCTTTTATCATGCAAATTCGTTATTGTTGATGTAAATACGTATCGGTAATGATAAGTAACATGATAAACTCTCAGTGTAACATATTTTAAGAACATTCTCATGTACGTGATCTCGTGATTTATTAGAAAGGGAAGGATTTTACTATAAACGGCGGTTTTTGGGAGAGCAAGAGTTTTGGACGACAATTGGTGTTGCCTAATTTTCAATTATCTATAGCTATTTCGCGTTTCTTTACCAGCTCGATTACCGTCGTCGATCTTCTAAACGATGCCTTTTCTGGATCAAGCTCCTAACCGTCAGTTAATTCAATCAATGACTACAAAGGAATTTTACAATTCTTACTTGGAGAACAATTTGTGCGCAAAAATTCTAATCTTTTATTGAGGCCCGTAGATCTTCTTACATACATTTTTTTTTTGGTTTTTGGTTTACATAGTAGTATTATTCCTATAAGACTATGATTAAAATTCAGAGAGGAAAATAAAAAGCATTGTTTGAGAAAGTATGTAAGATATAATTAAGAGTTTGATCTAAGAGGAATCGTAACAAATAAAAAAGAAATACATGCAGGACAAATTAATGAAAATGTTAAGGGAGAAAATCGTGACTTAATTAAAAGAGATCCGTGAGGAAAGAGAGAAAACCGTGATTAAAAAGGAAAATCTGGACAAAAGTAAAAGAGAACATCAGATGGATTGTTTAAGAGAGAATCGTGATTAAAAGAGAATATCGATAAATGCAGCCCAGACCGATCCTACCGAATTAAGAGGATCGCCAAACGGTGTTACGAGTGTAACAGTACCATTACATATACATGTACATGTACATACATCGATATCGATATCGATATGTCGCCTTGGCATAAATTAAATGCTTTGCTAAAAGTATATTTAGAAAACAGAAATTTTTGAATAAACTATTGCTTATGTAACTATCAAATGCAAATAAATGTATGCTATCCTCTTGCACATATAAAAAAATAGTATAATCTTCAGTATGGAGTCTCAAGTATCACCTCTTAAAGCATCAGAAATAAAAGTAATCCATGTTCAAGTGAACGATGACATTCCCATTCGAATAGTACTTCCGATACACCAAAGACTAATTGAAATACGTGAAAAGCTTTCCACGAATCCGGAAATCCGAATAGGCAACAACACGTCATTCACAAACTTAAAAGAAAGGAATTCGTTTACAAAAATTCAACAAGAGGACGAAGATAAATATTGTTTGTCGGATGTCTTGGGAAATAACGAAAAATTAAAAATTATCGGCGAAATTGAACCAGATTGGGCAATGATTGAAAAAAATTGTCGTATTTCGTATGGAATTCATTTTACTGAATCAGGACCATTACCCGCACCTGAAAAAGCATTTGAAATTACAGAGTTTCCGGAATCAATTCTAGCATGTCCGGATACGATTGATAAGATGGTATTTTGTAAGACTGAAAATGATCATTTTTTTGTAAAAAATTCCATTTCTAATTTAAAATCTAATGCAAAACTGCCATGGTAAGCAATGAATTCTGTGTGTGGCTATTAAATTATGATTATATTGAATTAAAATTTGAGCTTTCTATCTGTAATTAGGTCGCTTATTTCAGCTACATTCGATGGCACACGAAAAACGCAATTTGGAAACCGCGTTAACAATAGCGAAGCAACTACTTACTACATATCCAAAAGGATCAAAGCAAGAATTTCAATAAATCAGTCGAAAATCAAAGCTACTCAAAAATTTTTAGATGCAATTGACGAAGCACTCGAGTCTCCTGATCAACGAGAAGCTCTTAAAGAAGTGATCGATACCTTTGGACAATTTTGGTGCAAAAGAATTGGAATAGGAGGGAGTATTATTTATGTTCAAAAAAGTGAAACGAATTTAAATGAAAATGTAAGGGCTTGTGGACAGAGTATCGAAGTGACATCAGAATTTAAAAATTCTATTGGGCTCGGAGGAAAAGTTATAAAAGATCAAAAATCAAATCGAATGAATACATTAAACAGTGCATACTCTTATTTTAACATTCGCGGTGGTTTAGAAGAATACTATCATGAACGAGGAATGTGTGGTATGTAAAATTACAGTTATCAAAAGTTTTATATAATATGTACTTACTCTTTATATATAAATATACGTAATTTGTAGGATGGATAAGATCCTTAACAGACTATAAAACATGGAAAGTAGCCGAATATTCAGATGTTCATTCGATATTTGACATCCTTGATGATGAGAGAAAAGAAAAAATTGCAACTGCGCTCAAAAAACGAATTACCCATTCCGATGTTGAAAAAGTGGACTTCATTATGGATATATCAACGAGAAAACCACACATCTATGAATTTCCTAAAGAAGTTAATATATCTAATACTGATCAAATATTCGTAACAGAGATGACAGATCAAGAAACAGAATCAGGGTTTGCTCTTCGAGTTCACTATATTAACGAAAACAGACCACCAGTGATTCTTATACATCGACTCGGGAAACTTAAAAGCCGAAAAAAATATGTAGATTTTTCGGTAAAGCTTGGTTGGATCATTGTTGGAACTTCACTAATTTTGAATTTATTAGAAAAGAATTCAGCTCAGCCCGCTTTTGAAAGTGATGAAGCTTCAATTATTGTGAATAATAACCAGTTATCAGCGTCTGTCTTATCGCAAGATTTGAATCAAACAAATACAAGCCTTTTGGCGACTTGTGTTACGAGATCAAAAAGTTCACAAGATAATCCATCGAAATCAGAATACATTATGGGAACTTATTTTTATAATAAAAATGGTACCGTCGGAGCTCGTGCTTTTTGCTATGATCGTGATAGTAAGTGGATTATTATTTGTTGAAATTATTAGGTATTTCAATAAACACATATTTACTTGATAAAATTTTATTCAAGTGAAACCATGTCATCAAATTGAAAATACAAATCTTTCAATTAATCATAGGTATGTTTTTGATTTTCTTATTTGAAAATAAGTTTTTATCTTTATTAATCGTTTCTTTGCAGCTTGATCTCTGGACAATCAAAGCTTCTATTTGGTCACGCTTCAATATGCAAAAAACGCCTGAACGATCGAAAGATTTTTTCCAAAAGATATAAAATCTATTTCACAAAGTATCCGCAACTAATTTCTTTAGAAGCAAGCTCATCCAATCTTGAGATTATTTCATCATCTTCGAATACGCAATCAACACAATCAAGTATAAATAATCCTATTTTCGTTAGTTTGGTCTTGGATGAATGTTCTACGAAATGCATTCATGGTTTCTTTACTATAACCCCAAACTACGCAATGTTTTGGTCTCTTAATAACTCAATCACTAAACGCGAGCAAGTTACATATTTTCGCGCACCATCAAAAGATGATAGCGAGTATAAAGTGTAAAATTCAATATAGATGCATATTTTATAATTACGTATCGGTATACTGTAGTTTTTTATAACCATGTACGTACACATATAACATGTACAGTCAGCGGATCAACTAACTGAACTAACCAATCAAAATGCACTGTGAACATGCGATTTATTTCATAAAATTTTTTACCATTAACTAATACATTACACACTATATGGTTTCAATATCCTTACGGCATCGAGCTCACAACCTTCCACAAACTAACACATTAAATTTTGACTACACTTCCTTCAGAGCTGCCTTGAGCTTGTTCTCAGTTTTTGAAAAGCTTTTACATTTTAGAATGTTGTTTTACAATGATTTCTAGATATTTTCTATGAAGCCAGTCTGGCTCATAATCATTAATATTTTCCTATTGAACCTGTTTTTAGAATTAGGGTTAGGGTTAAGTGAAACGCAAATTGCATGAAAAAGGATGAAATTACCTTAAAGAATTTTCGGGTAAATTTTTACAAAGGTTTTTTGTTGACAATTTCACGAAACAGCTTAGGTTGTCTTTTTTTGGCTTCTTGTAAATGTTTATTTTTTTGCTTATTAAGAGCTTGTGACCTTCCAAACCATGGTAAATTTTTCCAATAAAAATTAACATTTTACCCTGTCAAAGTCGGTCAACTGGAGGTGGTGTGTGTTATATTTACAACCAACAAATTTCGCCCAGTGTATGTTTAAAAGTCGAAGAAAGAAATAAAAAAATTTGAAGTCAAACAATAACAAAAAAGGGGAAAACCACGTTTAAATTTACGTATATTGATGTTGCACATCCAAATCGGGAGTTACTTAACTGTGGCGACTGTACAGAATCCACCAGGACGACCCCCGCTTTTTCGGGTCATGTGATATTACCGATCATCTCCGGCTTCTCCGACCCGCAATCGTAACGATCAAAGATTTTGTGACACAGAAGTAAAGCAATAATCAGAGAACAAATTAAGGCAAAGCATTAATTATTAATTAGAATTAGTCTTACAAGAAGCCAACCCAAAAATAAATGTTTGTCAAGAGCAAAATATATTTCTAATAGAGTTAAAAATCCAAGAAGGAAACCAAAAACCAGCCACTCAAACTGAACCTACTTTTTTCAGAAATTAAAGATTTCTTTTTGTTGCTTTCGAACAAACATGTGGGTATATTTGAAATCAGCAAAGAACAGATAAAAGAAAAATTCGAATAATATATAATGGGAGAACATGTAGTTTTGGTTGATATTAATCGAAAAGCAAAAAAGGTGATATTTGAAATCGAGGAAGATGCAAAGGAGAAGTATAATCCTTTTAAATTATTCATCTTTTGTCGAGTCAATCACTCTCGCATCCATCCTTCCCCCTGCAACCAAGCAATATGCAATGCAGCACACAACTGAAAGTTTTTGCAACCTAATCACGTCTCTTTCTTTTCCCAGACACCTGTATCACCACGTTTATTTAAAATTAGGCAACGGCCAAGCCCAAGTCAGAACTAATTCTGGCCCTGGCGGTAACTGACCATTATACTGTGTAATCTTTTCCAGAATTTTGTAAGAACCAGAAAGATGATTCTGATTAACTGTTGGTTGAAAAAACTACCTAAAATTCTGGCTAGAAAGAGACCAACTAGCATTTATACTTTCAAGTATGTTCTTTTAACAATCATAAGAACATTCTCCTTTCTTACTCTATATCTTTTATTCATTAAGGTAGAAGATCAATGTGATTTAAATCAATTTTTTTTATATTTCTTTTAATCTCTTTCACAAACCAATTTTTAATCACGTTAGCAGTTTAAAGAGAAACTCTAGCAAACAATCATATGTTACAAGATATTGATTAATTCATCATTAATCAATAAAAAAAGATAGATTTAAATATAGATAGTCTTTATTGAAAAAAAGTAATTAATTAGTAGAATTTACATTATATGCACAAAAATCATAAAAAAAATAAAAATTATTATATCACGAAATATACATATTCTACGCATATAGCTTATAAGATTAATCGAGTAATTCAAGAAAAGGTTGCAAAAGTAAAGATTAATGCATTATATAGAATATGACTATGATTAATTATGAATGAATAAATATAGTAACCTTCTATTAGCGAAAAAACTAACAATCAATCTAATAATATTAGAGTTTACCTGAATATTCACAGATATACTTGAATAGTCTGAATATCCACAGATACACTTGAATAGTCTTCAGATAATCTTCAGGTAATTCAGTAAACATTATAAACAATTCCCTGGTAATGTTACATTACTTGTCCAGTCTAATTTTTACCAATTGCATGCTCAATGATAGCTTTTCACCAATTATAGACTCAAAGAATACATTCCAAATTATGGTATTAAATAAATTGAATATATCTTTTCCTTTAATGCCATTTCACTTTCCCATTCTTGATCAAGCTACGTGAAATATTAAACTAAGCACGTAATCCAAAATGCATAGCAGAGATCGTTCCAGAAAATGAGACCGCTGGGAGTATTACTGGATAATACCTTTTCAAAGTGTTTTCTTCTTTTTGCAGTGTTTTCTTCTAAGACACGTTACCCTTTCATAGATCGAAATCATAAAGATCTTCAAAAATAGGAGTCAAAAAATTGTATATTTAAGCATCTGCTTATCAATTATCAATAAAATCGTGACTAATGGATTTCTGTAATAAATGCAAAACCAAAGGATCAAACGACCAATTCATTTGGAATGCCAAACATCATAAAACATGTAAAAGATGCAAAGAGAACCGTGAATCAAAGGATAAAGAGAATAAAATGCCAAATAGAATCACACAGCCAATAATTAATTATGAATTAAGTCGATAAAAGAATTTGAAAGCTTCTTCCAATGTTTTGAATAAAGATCTTAATGCACTCACTCATATAACAGAGAAAGTATCCAAAGAATCCGAGAGTGAGGAGCATAATGGAACAGTTACAGGTGAATACACTGAAGCAGAACACATACGCGTTGAAGTTAACTATCTTGATGTGGGTGACTTCATTGAAAATGAAATCCAAGAACTGACAATTGGACCACAAATCGATGGAGTAGTTAACGCAGCTTACTGAACTCAATTGCTAGTAAATATGGACACTGCTACAGGGGGTGGAAAAAAGTATTGGACACTTGATACGCAATGAAAATGGATCTGTAACATTACACCTCTTGCCAATT